TCAAATTATATTAATATTGATTAGTATACAGTTGATAGAAAAAAATGAATAGTTATAAAATGAGTAGAATGATAGGAAATGTAAACGGGACGAAACGAGTGTGGGACGAAATGAGACGGAACGAAACGAGAGCTAATTAACAAATACGGGACGAAACGAGAGGATAGCAATCTATTTATTTGATAAAGTACATAATTATCACAGAGAACCTGGAATTGCAGAGCATTGTATCTAGCTTTCTATGTAAAAAAAACGCAACATAGACTAAAAATAACTGTACTTTCCTTGTATTATGCAACGTACACGTTATAAAACGCTTACTGAATTTCTGCCAAATTCTCGGATTAAAATTAAAATGATTAGAGAGAATCCTTCTCCACTTTTTACAGTAATTTGAAGTACAGGAGTTATACTATATATTCATATATTTTAGTGACACATTTTATCTTGGTCCCCGAAGTTGCCTCACGTACGATAATTATAGGAACAACCACTCCTTTTTCTTTGAAAGGAACAGAAAGAATCGTGTTTGTTTGTAAAATACTTCCGCTGTAAAACCTTATTGTGTTCTGAATTTTTTGTACTGATTTATGAATTCTTATCGGAAGGAGAGAAAGGAAAAATGTTTTTACACGGACATGTGAATAATGTGGCGTATCTTTATTTTCATCAGTTCTTTACAGTATAAAATGAAGAAAAAACAAGTATCAACGGTAAATCAGTTAGAAAAAAATACATAAAAAAAGTTGGTTCAATTAATGGCTTTAAACTCTGAATCTAGCTGTCCAAATGAGATTTTACTCATTATAGTCAGTTATCTGGACTCGACTGACATATTTTCATCATTTTTTAATTTAAATCAGCGTTTTAACTCGTTATTAACGTATTATTTTGATTCTGTTGATCTGAGGAATGTCTTTTAAAACATTCAAATATTTTCACGATATTATATTGCCCCAAATTGGCCACTGGGTGAAACAGTTGAAACTAGACAATGAACATTGTTATCCACAAATAACAATCCTTCTTCTGCTCATGCTTAAAGTCATTAACGCTGTTGAAGGCTAAAATTACTGATATTGAATCATATTTAATAACTCAACTTGGTTCCTTATGTGAACTAACGCTCAATATTATTCCACCGGATAAATCTGTCCGTCGCAAAATCAATTTATGTAAACATTTATTTTCTTATCATAGTCCACTACATACACTGAGCATCAACTGGATTTACATAAACAAACATATTCGTCTCTGTAAAATTACAAAATTAATCATTACGTTGAATACATTTCGCGAACTGATGGTGTTATTCGATAATTTACCTCATATTCACATAATGCACGTCACATTTTCTAATAACAGTTGCCCATAAGAGGTTGTCAACCAATATCAATTCATAAGCTTGTCCGAAAAAGTCCCGTATTTAATCGATTTTTCGTTGACGACGGTAAATTGTGTGCTCGACAATGAAACAATTCTCGCCGATTTGCTCCGACAGTTACCAGTCAAAGTGCGACAGTTGCTACTCGAATTTTTGCTGAGGAAAAATACCCGCTTGATCGATGGACAATTTCTGGATCGAGATGTTTTATCACGTCTTACAGAAACGACTGATTTCCGTTATGCAGTAGGTGTGCGTGATGGTGATAAAGATTTATCCGTACCGAAAATGCTTTCAACGTTTAGAAGTACATTCTGGAACCAATGGCTAATAGGTTGTCATTATAACGAGCAGTTGAGACGTTACTGCCTTTACACACTACCTCTTTGTTTCGAATCAGTTAGTGGCATGTCACACGGGTTTCTGAGTCAACAACTTAATACTGACTAAGCGATGATTCCGGAACACTACAAACAGCTGAAGGAACTAACTATGTTCGCTCTATTGTCGCTCTGACTGTTCAGTCTATTAGAAAACCTGTTCACAAACATAAGTGTACTTCATGTAACTGAACTAGAAGATGATTCCAGTACGAGTGTTCATTGGCTGGCAGAGGAGTTGAACAAGACAAATTTGCAATTTAAATCTATTCGCATACTCAAATTTAGTATGAAAGCAAAAGTGACCGATGTAAGTTGGGCGACGTTCAGAAAATGTCTATTACTATTCGCACCTAACTTGAAGAGATTGGAAATGAATTACAGTTCAATGTCTTGTATAACAAACGAGTTTAATGACGCAAGATTTCAATCGCAGTTCAAAAATCTTAAAGAACTCGTCTTAACCGATTTTCCTGCCGAACACATAGAAAATCTCGCCATTTATTTTCCGAATCTCCATCGTTTTACTATTCAATATCAAAGTTATAACATAACATTATTCAGAATAGTCGATATTTGCCAATTAATCATGTCCATGAAACATTTAAATCACATTGATATCCCATTTGAAGACGAGGGAGTGGAAACAGTACATAACCAGCTTGTTGGTTGCTACATTCATCTTATTTCAGACATAAACAAAAGACGTATTCAAATATGGAGATGAAAACAAGAGATTTTTCTGGAACACGCTGAGAGATGCAATGTGACAATCTTTTCAGTTAAAGTGTAAATCACCCTATTTAAGGCAAAAATCCTTGAGTCCTATCGGTTTTTTTCCAACAGTTGCTATTTAATTTTCAACAAGTTTATTTTTATTATTTTTCTTTTCTCTCCTCTTGACTAATCTCACTGAGCTACAACAGCTGTTTTTTAGTTTGATAATATACCGATATTTTTCAACGCAACAACAGTAAAAATCGTGTCTTCACTTGATTTCTAATGCGATGATCATCTTTTTTCTTTGTTTTAGTTGGTTTTGTGTGAAGAAGCAACAAAAAATTACCGATTCGTCTTACGAAAATCGAATTCGATTTTCCAACTATTTAGAAAATCGCTGTCGAATTTCAAGAATGTTGGGATTTATTTATAAAAAATCGATTTTGATTTTCTAGAATCTGGAAAATCCAGTTGATTCTCTACAATGTTGGAAATTATTTATAGAAAATCAATCGATTTTCTATCAGAACAGTCAGAAAATCGCTGAGGATTTTGTAAAAGTTGGTCAACCATTTATATACTGAATAGTATATGACTTATTCACGGTGGCTCTCAAAACTATTGAACTAGGTTTATTTTCAGTTTTTCTCCTCGAAGATAATAGCTACAACAAGTGTGAGGAAAATTTTGAATAGTTCAAGGAGTTTCCAAACTGGTCGGTGGCAAATAAGATTCCACCGAAACTCTCAGGATCCAGGTCTCTGAAGAACCGTAACCCTGGCAAATCAAGTCCCCGAATTCGAAGGGTACCTTTTTTGTAACAGCCTCATCGTGTACAGAAAAGATTCCTGAGCAAATCAAGACGCATCTGAGCTCTCTACGCCTGTTTCATCAAACAACATTCATTTTAGGAAAAGCCCCATGTAGCTCGTGAAATTCTCTGTCGAAAGGTACATGAAGTGGAGTGGTTCACGGAAAAATAAATGGATAGTATAAACCTGAACAATGTTGACCTACCGGTTTGGTGAGATGCTACCGAGCATTTCCAACCTTACACTACCTACTTACAATTTTTTCTGAATATTTTATATATCATTTTGTAGCCCGTGAAATTCTTTATTGAATGGTATACAGTAGTTGAGGTTTGCTTTGAGCAAAGGGAAGAAATAAGGAAAATACTTTAAATAGAGTTTATCTAACTTTGAATGCGAAAATTTTTCCTGTGATCTTTTTTAAGGTGCTAGTTTTAATCACGGAGAAAAACTACATCAGACCTGTGAATATGAGAATGACGCGCCTAATGAATCCACATATCCAACATCATTCTTCTCTAGATAGCGTACTATATGTTTGCCAACTAGTTTAAACTTATTTTCATTAATAAATTCCAGAGCAAAATAGATTTCTCGAATAATAAGATTAAAATCTAAATTTTCAAAACTTTGATCTATCTCATTTAACCATAAATAGTCAGACATTGTATAGTAACGTTCTAAAATTTCCGTTGCCTTCCAGCGGAAAGTTTATTTTAACATTTTTTCTGGTCGAACAGCAGAAGAGTTTTTTTTCTTCCACGCCCTCAAAAAAACTTCCCCCTGCGCGAAGCATCAAACAAATTCCTTCCACACATTTTAGTCGAATGTTATTTTTAGGGCATGACTCAATTGCGACGGTCCGAAATGGAAATTGTTTGTTTGGTGAGGGAGGGCAAATGAGATTTTTTCGACAGGAATTCGTGCTTCTGTTTTCTATGAATTTATTAGTCCATGAAACTCGCTATCGGCATACTGTGAGGAATTATGATCAGCAACAAAACAAAAAAGAAAGAACTCGTGTACAAAGTGGGTCTGACCACTTACAAAACCTTCTACTGGTATAAACTGTCGTCTTTTTCGGGACAAACAAAGTGAGTAAAAAAAAAGCAAAGGGAAAAGGGCAACTGTATAAGCACATGCCCTAGAAAATGCATCGTTTTAATGGCTTCTGCTCTGAATTGGCTCATTAGGTTAACAAAAAAACAATGGAAAAATAATTTGTGAATATATTTATATCAGCACAGTACGCTGGCAGATAGATAGGCGGAAGGAGTTCTCCTCTCTTTTACTTTTAATTATTCGCTGGAATATTGATATCCTTTGAGTACATTTCGGCAATATAAAAGAGCGTGGTGATGAAAAAGGCTTACATGATTTAGTTTCCGAGGATTTAGTTTCCTATAATACAAAATCCAGAAAAAAATTTCTTTTTCGGAAAGTTAAGGATTTAGTTCCCTATATCAATTAATTTGTTAAAAAAAGAAAAGAAAAATAGCCTGATTGCTAATCTAATTAAGAAAGGAGAAAGTATAACAGAATGCAAAGAATTAACAAAAAGAAAGAGTCAGAATAAAATCAAAATGAACAGAACACTATCCCTCTAAATATTTGAAATATCTAGTTCCTGCGGCATTTAAAAATGAAACCATATCTAGTTTTTGTTCACAAAACCTTTGCCATAGTTTTTGAAGAGAATTTTCAGCTATTTGTTGATTACGACGTCGTTTTGGCTGTGGTGCACCCATATGGTCTCGAACACTACTGAATGCACCAAGTGACTGTTCTTGACGCAGTAAATCAATTGTACAATAAATATTTGGATGAGCTGATGTAGAACGTTTTTTCCATTTTAAATAGCGACCTTCAACATGACTGGTGGTAGGTGGTGAAAAGTTCACGAAATGATTGTAGGTTGGTGGTGGAAAACTACTAAATGCAACATATGTATCATGAAAATATTGTAAAAAAGATGTTAATTGTGGATAATTTGGCTTATTTTGCATTAAGTAATTAAAACCAAATATCATAAGAGTAAGTGGTAATAACGCGACAGCAGCAAATGACCTAAACCATGTACGCAGCTGCTCATCATTTTGTATGCCGACTGTAAGCCTAAAACAAGATGCAATTGTTAGAATTATTATACTACAAGAAGCACTTTGATATGTACCTAAATTCTGGAATTTTCGAAACAAATTTTGCCCAAAATGGAATAAACAATACTTGACTTCAACATATGGGAAATGTTTTATGAATACATTAGCAACAGCCAATTCAAAATCAATCGTAACACGACGTAATCGTACACATAAATTCATTTGTATCATATGGTTAAATAATTTCTCAAACATACCACGATATAGTTCTTCAGATTTACCAGGTAATGAACAAAATACGTATGATGCCATAATACCATCATTATTATAACCATGGACAGAATAAATTTGGTAAAATATTGATGGACACACATAAAACGTTCCATCACAATACCACATTTCGCTTTGAGATAAATATAAAATATCACTTGGTGTTGAAAATATAATACATCGCGAACCAGCTATTGGGCCATCATACAATATAAATTGTTCACCACTTTGATTCTTTTGATAGTTAGGTGGAATTGGATATGGTAAGTCATTAATATTCTTCGGAAGTGGTTCTCTTGTTTTACGACGTTCTTTCTGAAGATTGTTCTTCATTGTTGCAATTGATGGTAATTGAATTAAAAGATCTTGACTCAAGGTCGGGCTTTGAAGATTGACATATGTTTCATCCAAGGTACTATCAATTAGTGAGGATGATTCAACAACTTTACGTTTTAAATTTTGACGTATATTCAATACTTCTTTATCAGTTTCATTTGGTGTATGATCATGATCAGCACTTCTTTTGGTTGTACCATTTGCATATGTGGTTACACCAACACGACAATATTTCTTAACACATTTCCAATATTTTGAATCATCTGGATTTGTATGATGACAATAATAACTGTAGCCTTCATAACATAAATGAGTTTTGCCATGAGTTGATTGTACAAATTCTATTTATCGACATGATGCTTGATAAAGTTTAGACTGGAAGATTAGTGAGGTGCTATATTATCCATCACTTTATATATCTATTTCTGACAACGTTACGTACACTATTTAATTTTTACATTACATACATTGTTCAGCTTAATTTATATTAAACACATTGTTTACCTATCTTTACACTGTATATATTAGGGAGCGTTTCAAAATTCTTGCCGTTCTCTCTGCCGCTCTGTCGTTCTGCCGCTCTGCCGTTCTGCCGCGGCATAACGGATTATTTTTAATGACATTTCGATATATTATCGGTTTCTTTTGATGTATGTATATCGTTGATTATCGTTTAAAAAAGGTAGTTTTCGAGACAAGCAAAAGAAGTCTCAGCAAGTCGAGGAAAGAAAAACTTGCTTTTTTAAACGATATTCACAGTTATATTTCTGAAAGGCTAAAAGGGGTCCTTTTCTAAAATATAGATCAGTTTCGTGTACAACTTGTGTACTTTAAACTAGTATAAAAAATGGAATGGGTCTTCTATAATTAATGTAATTGTAGTTCGCGAAGTTGTTGCAATACGAAATAAGTTTACAGTGGGTACTCTCCTCCTTGAATATATAAAAGATGAACATTTGATGAAAATATAAAGTTT